AAGACTAGTCTTGCCACCCCCAAAATGTTGTAGACACTCTTGTGGAAAATCAGTCGATGATAGATGTATAGATTTGTTTCTGGACTCTCAACTCTATTCCATTGATTTATAGTCTGTACTTCGGGGAGTAGCATACTGTTTTGATAACTGTAGCTTTGTAGTAAGTTTTAAATCAGGATGTGTGAGCCCTCCAACTTTGTTCTCTTTCTCTTTTTTTTTTTTTTCCTCCCAAGATCTTCTTGGCTATTCAGGATCACAGAGTTGTGTAGAATTGTAGTCTTTGTTCTATCCCAAGTAAGCTGTAGGGAGTTTGGATAGGGTCCATGGAAGAATAATTAAAATAATCATGGGTTGTAGTAGGCTGTTCTTATCAGTTTGGCCTGCCTGATGGATGCTGTCATCTGGTAAGATGAAGGCTCAGAGGCAGCTTATGATCAAGTTGTAAAATCGTGAAGAGGAAGGGTGGCACGGGCTATTTGGACACCACATTTTAGCTCCTGTAGAACTAGAAGGTTGCCCAGTGAAGCTTGGAAGAGGCAGGTTTAGTGTCCCTAAATGGGACCCTGTTCCACGCCAAATTGATGAAACTTACCATCCCCAAGGAGCATATACATAAGCTAAAAATCATAGAAACTGTAGCTTTAAAACATTCGTGGACCTTCATCTACCAGCACAAAGGTGGGTGTTTTGCAGCATGCCTCTTACCTTTTGAGGTCGGTGCCCCCACCCTGCTCCTCCCACATCCTGTCCCCCGGTGATGTGGATTGAGTGGCTGTGAGTTTAGTCCTGGATGGTGGTTCTTGGGAATTTCCAGTGAGCAGCAGCCTTACTGTATCCTCCTAGAGTATGCCGTGGGCAGGAGAGAGGGGCCTGCGGTGGGGGTGCCTTTGCTCAGGCCCAGTGTGTTAGTGCCTACATAACATGCAGTGAGACAGAGTCTGCCCAGGTCGGGACTTGTCAGCCTTCCTCCAAACACATCCTGTCTCACAAATCAAATTTGCTTTGACATCCTACCACAGACCGCCTTCTAATCATACTTTGGCACCACGTTCAAATCCTGCCAAAATGTCTTTAGTTCAGGTTTGACTAGCTTGTTAGTAACAAAATGCTGTGCTAGTGAGAATTTCACTCTGACCACTTTTTAATTGCTTTTCTGTAGATTGGTTTTGTTACTCTTCTGCCATTGGCTTTCCTAATTGTGTTGTTTCTACTACGTAACTCTTTGGTGATGGAACACTGAGAGTTTTAGGTACGTGTTGTTTATGTACACATGTGTAGTAGGCGGATTTCACCTCATGAGTCACTATGAAACAGATTATAAAGAGCTGTTATCATTAGTCCAGATTTAACTTTTCAAAGAAATCAAAATTAGGTTTGTGATTTAGTGTCCTAGTAGAGTTTTAGTAAATTCAGATGTTTTGTAATTTTATTGTCACTTACTTTGTTTCAATGAAAAATGAATATTAACAGAAGACAATTTAAAGACTAGTCTGTCTTTAAAGTTCAGGAAAAGGTATATGGAAGTGAAGCAGAACTTCCCAGTGTTGAATCAGTGATCCAGACAATGTGAATTTAAAAACAAACTAGATTCAGATTTCAAGTGGAGGATTTTAGAGGTCATCTGGTTCAACCCCTTCTTTCTGGTTAATGGTGAGGAAAATGAGGTTCAGGAAGGTTAAATGAATTGCCCAAAACCACGCGACCAGTTACTGGCAGAGCTGAGACTCAAACAGCAGTTCCTTGCTGTGGTCTTGCTGTCACTTGGCACTTCCTAATTAGTGGTTCGAGAGACACATTGTACGTGGATGTGTTTACTTGAGTTTTACATTGAAGGGAGGGATTAAAATTCATTGAGCATCTATTTGCTAAGCACTTTTTAAATCTCTTATTTCATGTGATTCTTACATAGTCCTGTGAACTAATTAACAGTCCCACTTTACAGATTAGGCAGCTGGGGTGCAGGAAGGTTACTAACTTGCTCAAGGCCATGTGACTAACACTAGAGCTGGTATTTGAGCACTGGGTCTGTGTGGCCTGTTCCTGCCATGATGCTCTGCTGTGGCTCTAGTGAGAGTAACTGAAACCTCTGCAGGGGTGTGGGCAGTAGTGATGGTTATTGCAAAAATAGCTTTTTCTGACTTCTCACTCTGTAAAAGCAGAGATGTACACAGATGTGAGCAGTCTTCTCAGAGTACCCACGGCACTTAGCAGATGTGGGCTGATCTTCATACCACCTCTGTAACATAAATGGTATTTTCTGGCTGGGCGGCCGAAGCCCAGATAGAGTCAGGGGCTTATTGCCCAATCCCTTATCACAAAGCCGCATGGCCCTGCTCCCAGTTCCGTCCTTCGTCCCGTCTAGCATAGATTTCACCACTTTTGTTCTTTCCTGTCTTACACCAAGATTGTTTAAGTACTTCCCAAAAATAATGAGCCACGTGTGGGTGTGCTCGTTCTCCAGAATGAATCACTGTGAAAGAGGCCATGAACCAAGGAAAGGAGAGTGCGTGTCTGGGAGCAGAGGCTCTGGTTCCCTGCCTGCTAATTGACGGACTCTGAAGTGAGCTGCTTTTCCAAAGGCGGCTGCGGGTCTGGCCCGCGTGTCCCACTGTGCTCAGAATAGCCCTCTGGGAGTCGTTCACTTTCCCTTCTTGCTTCCCAAAATAGACCTGAGGCTGTTCTCATCGCCGGACGTCGGGGCGCGTGTATTGAGAGGTGTGCGCGCCACGGGGACCCCTTTTGTGCCCGAATGTCCCCATTGACACAAAGAGGAATGGGCGTTTGCACTCGTGGATGAGTAGTCAGGACTCCAGGGTGAGTCACAGAGGTTTGGGCAGAGTGTTCTGAGAGTCGCAGAAGTAAATTTCAGTTAGCAAGAAGAAGGAAATTTAGGAGGAATTTACTTTTAAAATTCCTTTTATGTTTGGGATCCTAGTCTAAAGGGTACCTGCTTTAAACTTCCTGCCTTTAAAATATAACACTACCCGAGCCCTTCAGCAGGTAGCTGCGTGTTTTGGAATTTCTCCCAGAAGAAAGGGTTCTGATCAGACGCTGTGAGAAAAATCCCACAGGCGGTGCAGTGAAGATCCACACTGTCCGTTTGCCTGTCTGTGCTCGCCCTCCTTTGTTTCCTTGGTGGGGATGGCAAGGATCGTGTCACTTACAGAAAGCCTGTAAGGGGAAGGAGGGGGTTGGACCCTGAGATATTTAGAATCTGTCTTTGGACTTGAAAAGCCAGGAGATGCCTTCCAGTGTTTTAGAGGAAGAGACAAAGATAGACTGTTTACAGCCGAAAGGGGTGAGTTACGACAGGCTGGTTTTTCACGGGACTGGTCATAAATGTCTCTTCTCCAGGGGCCATAGTTTGAATATGTTCCCTCTTGGGATCCAGATAGTATTCGCTTAGTGTCCAGTCGGGGCCTCGGGTGGGCCCTGCCACCTGCATCCCCGCTGGGTGAATGCTTTGTTCAGCACTGTGAGTCCCAACCTCAGTATCCTAGTGGCTCAAGCCACCCTCCTGCCCATCCCAAGGGGTCAGGGCTGGGTTAGGCTCATGGGAGACAGTGCTGGGGAGAACCAACGGCTGCTGTCTGTGCTATTCTTGTTAGACGGATAAATAAAGGATTTCAGATTCCAGGGCTGCCGAGCTGGCTTTCAGAGGCACCAAATTCATTTACAGTAATTTCCTGTCAACAGTGCACACTTACGGATAATACACACCCAGCCAAACTCACTAGCTCCAGAGATGATTGTGTGCACTACCTATTTGAAAGAAAAAAAATTTATACGTATACATATATATATATATATATATATATATATATATATAGTGCTTTTAAAAGTGATATCCAGGGCTTCCCTGGTGGCGCAGTGGTTAAGAATCCACCTGCCAATGCAGGGGGCACGGGTTCAAGCCGTGGTGTGGGAAGATCCCACATGCTGCAGAGCAACTAGACCCGTGCACCACAACTACTGAGCCTGTGCTCTAGAGCCCATGAGCCACAGCTACTGAGCCCGTGTGCCACAACTACTGAGCCTGCGCTCTAGAGCCCGTGCTCCTCAACAAGAGAAGCCACCGCAATGAGAAGCCTGCACACCGCAACAAAGAGTAGCCCCCGCTTGCCACAACTAGAGAAAGCCCGCGCACAGCAACGAAGACCCAATGCAGCCAAAAATAAATAAATAAGATAAATAAATTTAAAAAAAAAAAATAAATAAAAAAATAAAGTGATATCCAGTTGTCTTTCAGAATGGGTTAGATTTATTGAGCACTTTCTATACATTAGCTCACTTAATCCTCACAATGACTGTATGAGGTAGGCACTAATATTATCTTCTTTGGAGGGTGTTCTTTTTGCCCCCTCTTGAGAGGGGCACCTGCGCACCTGCTGGGGACTAAAGGATGGAGGAGGTTGTTGGACTAGTCGGGAAGCTTTTCGAAGGAAGTGACGTTTAAGCTGAATCTTAAAGAACTTGTAAGCATTAGCTAGGAAAAAAAGCATTGCAGCAAAAGCATGTGTGAGAGCATGCACACTGCATTCAGGAAACTGTGGGCGTTCCTGGTGCAGAGAAAGGAGATGGGGTTGATGATGGCTCCAGGGAACCCGGGTGGTGTCAGCTGGAGTACGTGGGGAGAGGGGTCCTCTAGTCTCCGAAGGGAAGGTGCCTTCCTCCCATCCTCGGGCTTTCCTAGCCACAAAACAATTTTTTTTAAGAAGTCAAAGTCTAAAAGTTAAAAAGGCAGTTTCTCTGTTTCTTGTAGGCATAAACTAGAGCACTTAGAGGACAGTGGTGGGACCCAGAAAGCCTTGTTGTGAGCAGAATAAACAGGTGCAAAGGTTGGGCCCCCACTGACGATGTCATCTTTCTGGCCCCATCTCTGTAAAAGCGCCTTATTTTGGAACATCAAGTATGCTGGGGGATTGTATTCTAAGTCTGGAAAAGGCCCTGGGGTAAGACCTCACCATTGATGTCCATGTCCGCTCCCAAATTCCCCGCAGCCCTGCTCTGTGCGTGCACCAGCTGCTTGCAGGCCAACTACACGTGTGAGACAGACGGGGCCTGCATGGTTTCCATTTTCAACCTGGACGGGAGGGAGCACCATGTGCGCACCTGCATCCCCAAAGTGGAGCTGGTCCCCGCCGGGAAGCCCTTCTACTGCCTGAGCTCCGAGGACCTGCGCAACACGCACTGCTGCTACACTGACTTCTGCAACAAGATCGACCTGAGGGTGCCCAGCGGTGAGTGGACACCCTTGTTGGACTATTGGCTCATCGTGGAGGTAGGGCACCCCTGTCATTTTCATCCTTCTCTACTCTGCCCCCACCCCTTTGTTGGAGGATAGGTAAAGGTGCCTTTTGGATGCTCCCGGAGGTGACATGGGATGGCATTCCTCCCAGGTCCGGTCTGTAGGTCCGAGGATGGGGGAAACAGATTGTCGAGTGAGCCGCAGAGGTGAAAGCTGCGATGTGGGTCGTGGCTGAGCAGCCATTGGCGGCTGGTGAGATGTGGAAGAGCCAGGCAGGGGTCCCCACGGGAGGGCCTGGGGCTGATCCCGAGGGAGGCGGCCCCTAAGCCATCTGAAGGAAGCTTCTGGCGTGATGGTGATGGCAAAATGGGAAGAGGAACTAGAGCTGGAAAGGACGGCCATCAAGGCTGAGGAGTATTAGACACCACCCTTCGCAGGTCCGCCACTTAGGAGGTATGACTGGGGAGGTGAGAAGAGGAAGAGAGAGACCAGGCCGAGCTTCAGGAGGCCGTCACAAGTGGGGGAGCAGAGCATGGCACGTGCCTGGGGCGTGGAGGTGGGAAGAGCGCCATGAAATGCTGTGAAATTACAGAGCGGGTTGTGGGTTTGACTGTTGCAAAGGGTACCTTGACTAGAGAGGTTTGTATCTGAGAGCATCCAGGCAGATACAGAGCCCAGTAAGACCAGAGAGATCAAGGGCACCTTGAACACAGGGAGAGGAAAAGGGCGTTTCCACCTGGAGGGAGGAGCCGGGGAAAAATGAGGCCATGGCGCTCCCTCATTTTTACTCTGTTCTTTCCCTCTCCTCTCTCACCTGACCCAGGTCACCTCAAGGAGCCTGAGCACCCCTCCATGTGGGGCCCCGTGGAGCTGGTGGGCATTATCGCCGGCCCAGTGTTCCTCCTGTTTCTCATCATCGTCACTGTTTTCCTTGTCATTAACTACCATCAGCGCGTCTACCACAACCGCCAGAGGCTGGATGTGGAGGACCCCTCGTGTGAGATGTGTCTCTCCAAGGACAAGACGCTCCAGGATCTCGTCTACGACCTCTCCACGTCAGGGTCTGGCTCAGGTACCGCTTCTTCAGGCCTCGTGTCTGCTGTTGGCCTCCATCACTGCCTCCCAGCAGGATGGAGTGTTCAGGAAGGAGGCTGGCCATTTGCTTTCATAATTCCCCTTCTTTGGGAGTCTGACACGTAATAAGATAAGATAATGGGGTTCACAGAAAATCTTTCATTCTCTGGAATTCCAACGGTCAGGTGCAAAACTCTCCACTCCAGGATCCCTGCCTCTCCAAGTCTTGTAACCGTACAGCTATTAAAATTCACCTGGTTCCACCTGAGCAGTGGAGGACTCAGTTTCAGGGCCCCTTTTGAGAAACAGGAGTGTGCCGGGTTCCTGTGAGGTGGTGGCAGCTAATCATTGATCTGCGAGCAACCGCAGGGGGAGTTTAAGGACACCGAGTAAAGCCGAGAGCCTGGCTTGGGTGAATCATTGACTTGTGCCAGTTGCCCAAGGGTTTTTGGTGGCGGTTGAAATAAAGGCAGCTGGGGCCTCCAGCATGGCTTCAGCACCACTTCCAGAGCTGCCTGTTAGCAACCAAGCCTTTCTTAGGTGGACCTTGACTTGAGACTAGAATTTAGGATAAAGAGAGTCGGGTTGTCTCAGTCTCAGGGTAGAGCTCAGCTAGCTAGTAGATGTGGCTATGACTGCAAAAGAGTCTTTTTGTGAAGACAGACGATTATTTTAGTGACGGTGGTATTCTCTTCCTATAGAAAAAAATCATCCACAAAGGTCACTGTTGCCATTCTGACTAAGACAGACAGGATCATATTTGTGCGAGCTTTGTGCGTGTTTATGTATGTTTTCTCGCCATGTGACAAGACTCTTCTGTAGGGAAATTATGCCGCCATCAGTCGTGGCCAGACATCCCTTCTTGAGCACAGGAATGCTTTGAGCTCTGACATCTCCTGAGTTTCTGTGGTTTTGCCTTTATTAAGCTCTGCAGTAGAGAGTGCCAAGATGATGGATATATTTAAAAGCTGCGTATTTTTGGAAGAGAGAAAATATATGGCTTGTTCTTTGCTGAAGGAGGGTAGGGCAGTGGTTAGAACTGACTGACTCTGTGACCTGACTTGCTGCTGGAGGAGGGTTGCTCGGGGCTTTTGGAGTCTTTTGTAAGATCAGGATTAGCTGAGGTTAGGGCAGGTCCAGGGCAGTTACCCGGTCATCTGGAGTAAAATGATTAATAACTGTTCCTCTCTGGATGGTTTAGTCCATTCTTAATTCAGAATATGCAACGCTTCCAAGGTGCTGGGGTTTTAATTCTGTGGACTTAAAGTAATAAGTCCTTGCTGTTTTTTTTTTTTTTTGGCGGTACGCGGGCCTCTCACTGTTGCGGCCTCTCCCGTTGCGGAGCACAGGCTCCGGACGCGCAGGCTCAGCGGCCATGGCTCACAGGCCCAGCCGCTCCGCGGCACGTGGGATCTTCCCGGACCGGGGCACGAACCCGCGTCCCCTGCATCGGCAGGCGGACTCCCAACCACTGCGCCACCGGGGAAGCCCAGTCCTTGCTGTTTGTGTGACGTTCAGTTCACACTACTGACAAGTATGCGTTGAATACCCTCTGGGTGATACAGGGTGAACAAAATGAGAAAGAGGCCGAGCCAGGATGGGAGAGAAGAGATTGTGGAGAAGGGTCTCACAGAGGAGGTCGTGTCTAAAGGGGTCACGAGTCGGACGTTTTGAGAGTGGTAAGAGGGCAGGGAACATTCCAGGCCGAGGGAAAACCCTTGAGCAAAAGAAAGAAAGGCATGAACACTCACTGGCTGTTTAGGGAATGATCAAGAGGCCAGCACGCTGTCCCCAGGCCAGGGTGGGAAAGCCTCGGGCTGCTGTGCTTTATGCCCCCTGTTGGGGAGGGCAGGGCAAGGCGGGTGAGCTGGGAGCCGCAGAGGCCCACTGGAAATCTTTCAAAGGAGGGCCGGGGACAAGGGCCAGCGAGGGGGGACCTGGAGAGGAGGGGGCTGCACTGAGAAGCATTTGGTGGCTCTGTACTGTGGGAGTTAAAAGCATAAACCTTAAAGTCGGTCTTAGATGCTTTGCCATTTACAGCTTGTAGGAACTCCAATGAGTTACTTAACCTTCCCTCTTGATGCTTAGTTTTCTCGTTTGTAAAATGGGCATAATAACAACACCTACCGTATAGGTGGTTGTGAGGAAATGAGATCATTTATGCAGGTGCCTCCTGCATAGTATTAAACATACAGTACACAGCTTAGGGGTTAACAACACGTTATTTGTTTGGTCAGGGAGAGGGAGAGAGTTAAGGGTCACGATGGTGGGGGTGATTGGAGAGACAGGGAGACACTTACTGCATGGGTCAAATGAGGCGATAAACGAGTCCTATAAAGACAGTAAATGTAATCTTAGAATAAGCCTGGGTAGCCCCCCGTCCTGCATCTGGAGCTCCCAGTGAGCAGAACTTTGATCTCCCTGGAGAGAGGTGGGAACCTGGTGGACCCTGACCACACGTCGGCTTTCATGGGCCACGCAGCACTGCCCTCCAGTGGCCAATGAGTGGAGCAGCAGAGGCGGCCCCCAGCACTCAAACCTCCGCTTTCCTCTTCCACATAAAGCAGCTGTAGGTGGATTGACCCCCCGGAGGCTGGCTGAAGAGTTAGTAAATCCGGTCAGACATTTACATTCAGATCTGTCGTCCGTACTAACTGGGAGGAGAAATCGCTTAGATGAGGAGGAGCTAATCTATACATTGCCCCGTCCTCGCTCACTCACTCAGTGCTGCACAGCTTAGACTTCCCGAGGATTACCTGGACGGATGTAGGGGCAGCCGAGCTCTCCGCGGTCATTGGACCAGTGTAGAACGGAGGCACTGTGACGAGGGCTTTTCCAGTGTGGCAGTGAGAGTGGGCGTTGCAAAGTTCAGCAAATGCACAAACGTCTGCTTTCTTTCCATTCTTTGGTCCGTAGGGTTACCCCTTTTTGTCCAGCGCACAGTGGCCCGAACCATCGTTTTACAGGAGATTATTGGCAAGGGCCGGTTTGGAGAAGTGTGGCGCGGCCGCTGGAGGGGTGGTGACGTGGCTGTGAAAATATTCTCTTCTCGTGAAGAGCGGTCTTGGTTCCGGGAAGCAGAGATATACCAGACAGTCATGCTGCGCCATGAAAACATCCTTGGGTTTATTGCTGCTGACAATAAAGGTAAAGGGCTGGGTTTGGATACAGGGTGTCGCAAAGCCAACAGTAGGCCCAGATGGAGGAGTGACTGTGGAAACTGAACGGTTGTGGGACAGCACAGTTTTGTTTGCCTTTATAGTTATTACCCATAGCAAGAGGATCTGAGTAAGGCGATGGTTTTCAAACTTCTCTTCTATGAAAAGCTTGTGCAGAAATCCAGGTTATTAAGCAAGTAAATAAGCAGTTATTAAGCAGATAAGTAAACCCTCATCCTACCTGCTCACTTTCCCTTCTGTGATACTCCCAAACCCACCCCTAGGGTAGTCCCTGCAGGGGCTCCAGTAAATTTACCTTCATTCCGGTTGGAACGAAGAAGGGTGGCTTCAACCCCTGCCAGGAAAGGATGGCCCTGGAAAAGCATGCGATCCACACTGTGTGACAGACCAGCATCATACACACTATTGCAGTGGAGCGGGTGCAGCAGAGACACGGCCTGCCTCCCCCCAGGTGCTCCCCCGTGGCCTTCAAGCTCAGCTTTTGGTCCGCTTGTACCTGAGGTTCCTTATTTCCTCCTCCCTCTCTCTGCTGATTTTGCTGTAGTTTTTGAGTCTCTCTCGTGTGCCCAGGCATGTGCTCATTTTTAAGGACCTCGCTGACTAGCAAAGAGACAAACTAATGATTGTTTATAGGAAGTAATCAAACAACAGCTGTTCTGGTCAGCGCAAATTGGGGGTGAGATGGGGATCACAGATATCACACCTGAGCTTGATTGAGGCGAAGGTGGCAGGGAGTTGGTCAGAAAGAAAAACGAATGAAAAGAGCACTCCAGACACATGTGCAAACGGGAAGTGTCTTTGGGAACCTGCAGGTAACTTGGGATGTTCCAGCCAAAGACATGGGTGGAGAGGTGGCAGAGGCCAGATTAGGAAGGGCCTTTTTGAGAGGATTGTATTTTATTATAGAGAGTGGGTAGTAATCGAAATTGCATTCATTTATTCAGTAATATTCACTGGCTGCTGTCTGGTCCTGGAATCATCACATATAAGAAGAACAAGACACAGTCCCTGACCTTACAGTGCCCAGGAAGAGGGGACAGCCGACACCTGGGCAGGTAGCGCACTTGAAGTCAGAAAGACCGTGGGTGAAGGCATTTGCATTTTAGAAGAGTGTCTCCGGCGGTCAGGACACAGTCTGCTCCGTGGTCCAGTAATTTTTAGAAGTTGGTGCTGGCAGAGGCTATGGAAGATGCTAAGTGTTTGTTTTTCCTTCCTGAAACAACAGCAGGCCGCTCATTCCTCACGTTGCCATGGCAGTTTGTAGTAGCCTCAGCTGCCCCCAGGCTGAAGAGATTTGACCTCTTACGCAAGGGAGGAACGGGAAGAGAGAATTCCTTACTCCCTCTGAGTAAGCTGTGCCTTTTTAAAACAGCATTACCTTTTGATTATTCATTTAAATCTGACATATATTTCAGAGGGTCAAAAGATGTCTTCCCTTCTAACTTATGGGCAGGGTCCTCAAAATGTCAGGGCTAGTTGAGTGTAAGGGGGCGTGTTCGGTGGACCGCTCGTTCGTAATCAGGGAAACAGAGGCTGGTGCTCTTCCAGGAGCCACTGCCTTTATTGATTCTGGCAGCTTGTGTGAGTAGGATCTGGCTGTTGAAACCCACGCGAGGGCCAGGGGAGAAGGAAGTTCGGACTCCTTTGTTGTTGCCTGTTTAACATGATACGGATAGTACAGCGTCCTGGAGCTAGGGCCAGCTTGGAATTTGGGCGATCTCGATCCAATTTCCCAGTCTTCTTACTGACAGCAGCACAAGCTAATTAGACTACCAGCTTTTGGGTTTTCTTTTTCTCCCTCCCTTCTTCCCACTCCTCCTTCCCGCTGTACACTGCATACCCCTCTCCCCTAGTATGAAAGTGTGTGCTCGCCACCTCCCGTTGCTCTTCTGAGGATGAGATGATAAGATTCCTCTCTGGAATACTTGTAAGTGTGCTCTTCGTGCGTTGAAAAGCATTTTTGGCCCGGAACACAATAATACGCAAAGGAGCTCTTTGCTCCTCTCACAGAGCTCATAGCCTGGTAAGAGCAGTGGACTTCAAAGACCCGCTACAAATGAGCCTGGTGCTCGGGTTGGGCTGTGCTCGCAGGGTCTTGGAGCACAGAGGAGGGCCTGCGAAGCCTTCCTCCTTGGTGGGGGTGGGTGCTGCCAGTCATGGTTTTGACGAGCAGGTCTTGTCAGGATCAGAGGCAGTGTTGCAAAAGAAACAGATGATCCTGTTACTTTGCCTAAGCATGTACTTCCTCTTTGGGGTGCCTCTCATTTCAAACTCCGGTGTAGTCAGGGTGCGTACGGTTCAGAATCCTGCCTACGAGAAGTAAGGGAGCGGGTCTGAGAAAGAAAGGCCGTTCTGTCCTTCCTGGAGCCTAAAGCTGTGGACGGTGGTGGACGAGACGGGCACAGAGGGGCCTCAGGAGGTGTAGGGCCGGGGAGCGGGGAGTACAGGGGTCTAACTGGGGTTTACACACAGACTCTTCTTTTCCTACCTTGACCTTTTTGCTGGTAGTTGTGCCTTTTCTGGACCTGCTCTGTGGCTCTCTGCAGATAACGGCACCTGGACACAGCTGTGGCTTGTCTCCGACTATCATGAGCACGGCTCCCTGTTTGACTATCTAAACCGGTACACGGTGACCATCGAGGGGATGATCAAGCTGGCCTTGTCTGCCGCGAGCGGTCTGGCACACCTGCACATGGAGATTGTGGGCACCCAAGGTGAGTGGACCTGTCCCATCCCCACCGAGCTCCCAGAACTCCTTCTCACTGAGGATGCGGGATCTGGGCCTCAGGGACTGGGGTCTGGTCTAAGCGAGAGGAGCTTGGGCCTCACTCCAGCGAGAACAAGAGGTGCCTCTGCCTTCAGAGCTCCTCGGGGGGACTCCTGACGGAAGTGTGGGTTGTTTGTCCCCGATGGACTGGGGTGGCTGTTGGTTGGGAGGCTGCCGTTGACTGAGTGGTCATCTCAGACGCCCACGGTTCGCTGGTAGAGGAAAGGACTGAGAAAATCGAAGGAACTACTGTGCCGAGCATCAGTTGAGCGGGTTCACACCCTCGTCGGTGGGTCAGCTTGATGGGTTTGACGCTGGGCTCTACTAAACTAGGAGGGCCCTCCTGGAGGAAGGTGACCGCGGGCACCCCTGCTTGTTGCCTGACATCAGCTCTTTGGGAGCTCCTGGGGCTTGGCAGGTGGCACATCGCTCCCTGGTGCCTGGTCGACCAGGCAGCAGCTCTTGCTGCCCGTGACAGAAAACCAGCCACGGAAGTTTGACCCTGTTGCTAGGCTCTCCAGGGAAAGTAGCAGTCCTTACCTCCCCCGTTTGGTTCTCAGAACGTAGCTAGCGTAGCAGCTTCTCTCTGAAGTCCTCAGCAGTTCTGTACAGGAGCTTATTAGTTAGGGGAAGGCGAGCAGGAGTAGTATTAATATAGCAATATTAGCTCATACGCATGCCCTTCTAAGCTCTTGACTTTCCTAAGTTAATACAGCACATTTAATCCTTATAACATTCCCCTGGAGTAAGTACTGGGGTTTAGTCTCATTTTATGGATGAGAAGACCAATGCATAGACAGGTGAAGTTGCATTTCCAGGGTTACTGGGTTAGTGGGGAGCAAAACGAGGACTCGAACCCATACGTCTGGCTGCAGAGACTATGCTTTTAACACTTGTACTGTCTGTCTTTAAAGATCCCTGGTTTGTTTGTTTGTTTTTTCTCTGCTAGGGAAGCCTGGAATTGCTCATCGAGACTTAAAGTCAAAGAACATCTTGGTGAAGAAAAATGGCATGTGTGCCATCGCAGACCTGGGCCTGGCTGTCCGTCACGATGCAGTCACGGACACCATTGACATTGCCCCCAACCAGAGGGTGGGAACCAAACGGTAGGAAGGCCCTGGGCCTTCGCGCTTGCCCGACACTGGTACTGAGTAGCCCTTGCCCAACTGCGTGGGAGAAGGCAGTGTGGTCCTTACTCTGACAGCTGGTAGTTAAATTGAACACCCGCTCCCCACACTGGAAAGCCACACAGGTTGCATCGCGCAGATACAAGTGCGAGCGGCACAGCTCCGGAAGACCCTATACCCATAGGTGCTGGTGCATTGGGCAGGGGAGGCCATGGAGAAAGAGAACCTGGAGCAAGATTTAGAAGGGAGACAGGCACCAGGCTTGGCTGGGGGAGAGGGAAAATGTTGCAGTCTGAAGGAGTGGCCTGGGCAGGACCCCACAGGAGGCAGGGAGCATGCTTTGCTTAGGGTGTAGAGAGCAGGTTTGCCAAGCTAGAGCAGAGGTAGTCCAGGGTGGAGATGAGGGCCCCCCCGTAAGGATTATGGGCCTCCTCCCCGCGTCACAGAGAAGTGACATAAGAAATAAGGAACGTGGCATACCGTGGCCTAATGGTAAAGACTCCGAGCACTCACTGCCGAGGGCCTGGGTTCAACCCGTGGATGGGGAACTAAGATCCCACAGGCCGCGTGGCATGGCCAAAAACAAAGGAAATAAGCAACAGATTGACTGTGACTCCAGGTCGACTTCACGAGCTGGAAACGCAACTCTTCATAGGATGGAAGAGGAGGGCTGTTTCTCTGCTGAGTATCAGTGAATTTCACTAATTGTGCTGCTGCTGTTTTGCCCCTTCCTTTTGACCTGAATGATTGCAGCCACCCAGGCCCCAAAGTGTGAGGCCTGAGGTGAGCTGATTGGCCTTCTGTGGGCAGTGGGGAGTGGCTCAAGCAGTACTCATGAACTAACTGAGTGGGACTCTGATGACTACCTAGAATTAATTCTCACTTACCTGCACGGGTAAGATAACAAAAGAAGTTCAGACTGAAATTTAAGCTCAACCCATTATTGGCTGCACTGAATAAAGTCCAAGCCCCCAGTAGCAACCAGATATTATGTACTCTTCCTGCTCTGTGGCCTGCAGTACACATACCTCTGCCAAGAAATCAAAACATGCTTAAAATAAATCTTGGCGGTTAAAAAATAGAGGTAGAAATAAGAGTAGGCTAGTATTACCAAACCTTGCTAAGGTGTTTAGATTCGAATCCAAAGCATGGGAGTTTGCAATAATAAGAATCCCATCACTTCCTCCTCCCCAAGGGGCTGTCTTGGGGTGATTCTGTCCCACATTCAGGGGGCCCTTGAATCAGTACTTTGAGTCTAGAAAGAAGTCATCATTTTCTATGCGTGATCACATTTCCTTTGCTCTTGCAGATACATGGCCCCCGAAGTACTTGATGAAACCATCAACATGAAGCACTTCGACTCCTTTAAGTGTGCTGATATCTATGCCCTTGGGCTCGTGTACTGGGAGATTGCTCGAAGATGCAACTCTGGAGGTACCTTTCTTCCTGCCTTCTCTGGCTCCTCCCTCGCAGTCCAGAGTCCTGAGGGGCTAGAGTTGTCCTGCCTTCTTTCTCCTAACGGCCTGTCAGATGCCTAGCGCCAGCACCCATCATACTTAGGGTTCTCGTCCAAGAGGAGGGAGGGGACCGGGGAGCCGCAGGGACAAGAGTGTGTTTACTCTTTGGACCAGCTTGTTGAATAGTGTTTTATGTTGTGGTGACCGTTCCGGGGACTCATTTGGGCTTTTTTGGGGTTTTTTTGGTAACACATTGTCTTTCTTGGTCTTTCGAGGTTGGGAAAGCCCTGGGTAGGAACAGCACAGGACTAATGCAGGGGTCTCTTTTACACAGGAGGCAGGGTATTCTAACACACTGGCTCTCAAGCCACGTTCCTGGGGAATGTGGGGTTTCATTGATAAAATAATAGTGGTGATTTTTCAATTTGTGGGAGAAAGCTTACTAATGCATAGAATTTTCTCACAATGAGTCTTTTCTTATGCAATTTTCTCCTGAGTCTTTGGCATTTGCAAGTGTTCAACCACGTCAGAACCCAGTGAAAGGTAGTATCAGATTTAGCAGAAGACTTTTTTTTTTTTTTTTTTGCGGTACTCGGGCCTCTCCCGTTGCGGAGCACAGGCTCCGGACGCGCAGGCTCAGCGGCCATGGCTCACGGGCCCAGCCGCTCTGCGGCATGTGGGATCTTCCCGGACCGGGGCACGAACCCACGTCCCCTGCAGCATCGGGCGGACTCTCAACCGCTGCGCCACCAGGGAAGCCCAGCAGAAAACATTTTTTATCATCGGCTTAGTATATCAGAATTTTATGGTGACTTCCAAGTATTCTGCCACATGATCAAGTTCAAGAACCACAAGAACCCTGCCCTCAGCCATTTATCTTTGATGTAAGAGATTCCAGGTCAGTGGAAGTGAATTAAATTAATTAAAAAGAAGTGATGAGTGTTCCAGCAGAGCCCTTTTCTGTATTTTACTGCCTTTTTCCATCTGTGATACATTTGGTAAGATCCAAATTATGGAGGAGGCACCCAGGTATTGTACATCTTAAATTTTGATCATGATATACAGATAAAACAGATCCAGATGAATCTGGCCGCACAGGTCTGTGTGGTACTGTTATTGTCACCGTATCGCAGATGAAGAAGATGAGTCACAGATTAGGTGATTTGTGCGAGGTCACACCACTGATAAACTAGGGTTCAGACTCTGGCAGACTGAGGCCAGAGTTTAAGCTAATTGCTCCTTAGATGATTAACCAAGTCAGACTCTATTTAAAAATCTGTCCCGGGACTTCCCTGGTAGTGCAGTGGGGGACTTCCCTGGTAGTGCAGTGGATAAGACTCTGTGCTCCCAATGCAGGGGGGCCCAGGTTCGATCCCTGGTCAGGGAACTAGATCCCACGTGCATGCCGCAACTAAGAGTTCGCATGCCACAACTAAGGAGCCTGCCTGCCGCAACTAAGGAGCCCACGTGCCACAACTAAGGAGCCAGCGAGCTGCAACTAAGGAGCCCGCCGGCTGCACCTAAGACCCAGCGCAACCAAATAAATGAATAAATACTTTTTAGAAATAATAAAATAAATGCTAATCTCAAAATAAATAAATAAATAAAAATAAAAATCTGTCCCATCAGCTCAGAACAGCAGAATTTTTTTCTGGAAAAAGGCATGAGAAAGTTACATTGGATTTTTTTAAATTAACTTTTTATTACGGAAAATATTTCAGTTTGTAGCTCTAGAAGATAAGGACTTCAAAAATATAGTACTATTATCACACTTTAAAAAACAGACAGTGATTCTTAATATCATATAACATTAGCCAGTGTTGAGATTTCCCCAATTATCTGTGAATTTTTTATAAAAAACAGCTTGTTAAATCAGGGTTTAATTTAAATGTCCATCCACTGCAGTTGATTGATATAACTCCCAAGTCTCATAATCTACAGGTTACCCCTCAATTTTTTCTTCTGCAGTTTTTTGGGTTTTTTTTCCCAAGATTTATTATTTATTTTAATTTTATTTTTGGCTGCGTCGGGTCTTAGTTGCAGCATGCGGGATCTTCGTTGAGGCACACGGGATCTTTTTGTTGTGGCGCGCAGGCTTCTCTCTAGTTGCGGCGTGCGGGTTCTTTCTCTCTCTGGTCGTGGCACGCAGGCTCCAGGGTGCGTGGGCTCTGGAGTTTGTGGCACGCGGGCTCTCTAGTTGAGGCGTGAGAGCTCAGTAGTTGTGGCGCATGGGCTTAGTTGCCCCATGGCATGTGCGATCTTAGTTCCCCGACCAGGAATCGAACCCTCATCCCCTGCATTGTAAGGTGGATTCTTTACCACTGGAACACCAAGTAAGTCCCCTCTCCTGCAGTTTTCAAAATTGGAGAATCCAGGTCCTTTATCCTGTAGGGTTTTCCTGTCTAGATTTTCCAGATAACCTCTTACGCAGTTCACATGTTCTACTGTTTCTGTGAATTTCCTATGAGAGTTCCATCTAAAGACTAGAATCATTTTTTCCCCCAAAATCCTTCTGTTAAAAGACACAGACAATGGTGATTACCTCTCTTTTTGTGATGTTAACAGCTATTGTTGATTATTGTCCAAATCCAAATGTATTAGAGGTTGAAAAATGCCAGTATTCCGATCCTGTCAAACTTCATGTATTAGCTAGATTTTTTTCTTTAAAGAGAAACTTCCCCTATTGTCTATTTGGTTACCAAGATGTTTAATTTGAAGAGGAAAGGCAGGATAAATACTTGATTCTTTCCATTTATTTGACATTTTTCAAAATAATGAGTTTATTCCCTCTCATTCTACACAGGCGACTGAGGTTTTGGTTTATTTGTTTGTTTTTAGTGTCATCACGAACTGGTGATTTAAAATATTTGTTTCCATTGAAGTCATAGGTCTTACTGTTGCTTAAATGTTCTCCTCTTTGGCCAGTTGGGAGCTTTTCAGGTCGGTACCTTCTGACATGGCCTCCGTAGTCTTTGATAGTTTCCTTGCTTTTTGTTACGAAAAAGATATTCCTGGCTAATCCTGTGTGTCTCTTGTCCCGTAACTAGCACTGACCAGGCTCTCCAAGGAGCCCTAGTTCCTCTTAGTGGGAAGTGGTATTTACAGATCACAACATGGGTGTTGTCATTGGCTTTTGAGTAATCTCTTCCTTCTTTTGATAACTCCGGTGGGTGTTTTCTTTTCTCCCAGGAGTCCATGAGGAATATCAGCTGCCATATTATGACCTAGTGCCCTCTGACCCTTCCATTGAGGAGATGCGGAAGGTCGTATGCGACCAGAAGCTCCGCCCCAACATCCCCAACTGGTGGCAGAGTTACGAGGTGGGAAGCTCCCCTCTCTCCCGTGGCCTTTCTATCTGCCCGATTTCTCTCCCTTAGAAGAGGGTTTGCCAAAAGTGGGGCCAACCCCAGGGCTACCCCCTGAGCGTGTCGGTTATTGCAAACTATTATGTGCTGTTGTATTATATACTGAGCCCTTGTCCTGGGCACTGTAGGGTCCCCTTTGGAATTGACAGCCTAGAAGAAGAAAAAGGCTTGGTCCCAGGACACAGATAAGAGACAAAACAAAGACTGAGTGGGAGCTGTTAGACCTGTCCAACTAGAGAAATGGCTCTGGAGCCACAGGGGTGAGCTGAGCTTCGTGGGAGAGTTAAGAAGAGGCGTCCACGAAGGGTGTAGAAGAATGAGGGGGTGGGATTCAGTGAGAAGACATGTCTGCGAGGGAAGTGGCCTTTCTAAAAACTCAGAAGCGAGGAGGGTGTAGAGAATTTGGGTTGGGGAGTGATGGCGGATGAAGCGGGGAGGGGATGGCATTCGATGGCAATAACAGAAATGAGGACAAATGTGTGATCTAGATTCCTAAGAAACATGGAGTTGCGGGGTCTTGGAGTCTTTGGCGGCACAGGGTTTGCTTCGCTAGTGCTCTTGGGCCCCCTTTTCTCTCGTGGCTCTGCTTTAAGGAGTGTGTCCACTGGAGGGCAGGCCCGCGTTGAAGAGCAGAATTACTGAGCTCACACTTTGGTGACGCCTCCGCTTTGCCTGACAGAGCAGCCTTTTCCAAAATGGTCCTTGGAACCCTCAGGGTTTATTCACTTCAGAGGGTGGGGGAAGCAGAAAGAGCTGGTCTTCAGCTGCCCGCACCCCACTCCCTCTTCAGTCGGGGCTGTTTGTGTGTTGGGACTCCGCCGGGGAAAACGGGTCCCACTGCTAAAAGGAATCTGGAAAACACTGGCCTGAGGCAGCAGTCTGGGGACTCCGTAGCCCTCCACAGGTGACCTTCCAGGTCCGCCCCTTGGCTGCCCCTGGCCTGTGTCGTCCAGGCCCTGGCCGTGAGCTTCTGCCTCTGACGAGGCTGCCTCTCAGGGGCTGCTGCCTCCTCCTCCGCCACCCTGTCTCTGCACGTGAACGTGGGGTCACAGCCGCGTGCGTGCTCATGCTGGGGGATGTCCCTGCTGTGCCTGGCTTGTGCGCTACTTTACAAAAAACAGTCAGTAAACAGTCATAAACACGGATACTCAAACCTTCCAGAAATGATTTTCAGATCACAGGCCGTTGCAGGTATTTCTCTCAGGATCACCCAGACGCCGGGGAGGGGCTGACCAACCATGCTTGCCGAGAAGGTCCCCCTCCCCAGGCTGTCCCTTAAGGAAGGGGGCGCCCGGGGCAGGGGGTGGGGGGGCGGGCGGAGCCCGGGTGGGGGAGGGGCAGCCTGGGGACCGGGAGGGCTTCAGTGGGGGCGAGGCGGGCGGAGCACGGGTGGGGGAGGGGCAGCCTGGGGACCGGGAGGGCTTCAGTGGGGCGGGGGCGGGGCGGCTCGAGTGACGCGGGGTCTCTGCAGGCGCTGCGGGTGATGGGGAAGATGATGCGGGAGTGCTGGTACGCCAACGGCGCGGCCCGCCTCACCGCGCTGCGCATCAAGAAGACCCTCTCCCAGCTCAGCGTGCAGGAGGACGTGAAGATCTAGCTGCCCCTCCCCACACGCTGCCGGGCAGCGGGACCTACAGCCGAGCTGCCGTGTTGAGCGTCCGATGGAGGCCTACCTCTCGTTTCTGCCCAGCCCTCTGTGGCCAGGAGCCTGGCCCGCAAGAGGGACAGAGCCCGGGAGACTCGCTCACTCCCACATTGGGTTTGAGACACAGACACCTTTTATATTTACCTCCTAGTGGCACGGAGCCTCTGAGAGCAAACGGTGTGGAGAACTCAGTGCCACAGCCTGGACCGGCTGTAGTGGGAAGTTCTGCGAAGCCCGGCGCGCCTGGCAAGAAGCCTGGCGTGGTGACGGGCGGCCTGGGAGGGCCCGGGAGGAGCGAGCGTGGCCCCTGCTGAGCGGCACCGAGGGCTTTCCTCTGGGACCAACCCCAGCGCAGCGAGACAGCCCGGGGAACCAGCAGGATGGCCCCTCTGGGCAGCGCCGGGCCTCGTGCTCCCCTCCGCCCCGTCGGGACACCTGGAGGGACTGCCAGTGCCCGTCTGTCCAGCTGTGTATGCATGTGCCGAGGTGCGTCCCCTGTTGTGCCTGGTCTGTGCCGCGCCCTTACACGTGTGTGCGCGCGTGCGCGTGTGTGCGTGTGTGTGTGCGCGCGCACGCGTGTCTGTAGGTGCGCACTCACCTGCTCGAGCTTTCCGTGCATGTGCAGGTCAGGGGTGTGGTCGTCACGCCGGCTCTGCGTGCTGGGGCCTCTGTTCAGTAGTGAGCAGCGTCTGGTTTCCCTGGTGCCCCTCCCGGAGGGCTCCCTCCCCTCCCTTCCAGAAGCCCCCCTCCACGGTGGGTCTCCCTCCCCTGTGTCGCCTGGCCCTCCTTCTCCATTTCAGACTGTGGAACCAAAGCTGGCCCGGTCGTCTGTGGCAGGCAAGGCTTTTGGGTCCAAACGTAAGGGAGGCGGGGTGGGATGGGCAGGGAGAGAATCTCGGTGGCAGCCTGGGGTGTTGTGGTCAGCGGCCACCGTGGGAAATGAGCCAGCCTAAGGGCATCGTCCTCGGCAGCGTCAAGGAAGGGCCGAGGAATCTGAAGCCCAGATCTTGGGACTCAGATCGGAATGTCACATCTGTCTTTCATATCCCACATTCTGGAAACAGCAGTGTATATTTTTGGTGGTAGTGGATTTAGGGTGGGGAAGGGAAGGGGGGGCAAGGAGTGGGGAGGGAGTCTGGGGCGGGAGGGAGGAATCTGCATGGGTCTTTTACTGGATTATCTGATCACGGTGGAGGGCAGATGTGAGACTTGCGTCCACCTCAGGGGCTTTACTAAAGGGAACAGCCCGAGCTGAACCTGTCGTTTAACCTGAGTGTAGTATTTAACGACGTCCGGAAGCGCGGTTGTGGGTGGTGATTCCGTCAGCATATCTTAGGTATATATTAACTTTGAAGCCATAACTTAACTGGAGTGGTTTGGTTTTCTTTTCTTTCTTTCTTTTTTTTTTTTTTTAATTTAATTGGGAGGGTCTAGATTTTAACTTTTTTTAAATATTGTTAAGTTTTTATAAAAGGAAAACCATCTCTATGTGATGATTACCTCTCAATCTATTTGTTTTTAAGGAAATCCCTATAAAAACAACCACACAAAAAATGCTTCAATCAAACGCACACAGCTCAATCACACTGGAAATGTCTGTCCTTGTACCTGAGCCTGCTCCCCCCACCCAGCAGCAAGAGTTCCTCTGCCTTGGGGGTTGGTCTCGCTTGGGTTCTGCCCCCCCGCCCAGTTCCACAACTGGGTTTTGCACTGGGGCCCTGGCCTTCCGTGCGTTGTCCAGCAGGTTGCAGCTTCTCCTGCAGGCATTCACGCTACAGACATCGCTGAGTGCCTGCTGGATGCCAAGCAGTGCGCCAGGCGCTGGAACATACAGCTGTGAACAAGACAGGCTTGGGTCCTACTCTTGGATCACCGACCACGGGACCCATTCAAGCTAGTGGGTGACTGTTTTGAGACCAGAAGTTTTTGTAGTTGCTTCTGAGCCTTTTGAGCCTGGAGTGATTGCTCTTATATAAGACCACTAAGGAGTGAGGATGCCCACCTGTCCCCCACCAAAGAGGCCGGTGGTGGGCAGTGAGACCCCCCCCCCCAGTCGCTGCGTTCATCTGGAGCCCCCTTCCTGCCCCCAGGGGAGGCACAGACTGTGTGCAGCCTCAGAGCATCCCTGCCTCCAACCCAGCGATTCTCTGCCAAAGCTTGTGGAGGAGGGGAGAGCCCTCCCCCCACTTCCATTGGTCTCCCCCGTGCCCTGGCCTTCCTATTTATTTTCCTGCTGTATCGCTTCTTTCCTTGCATTAAAGGAGATCTTCCCCTAACCCTCTGAGCCAATTTACTGGCTACTGACTAATTTCCCTCGAATACCAATCGTGTCATTAGGGGGACCTTCTTTCCCCACCCCTGCCGATGCCCCATCTGTCCGCCCTGTGGCAGAACTTAGCGGTTTAGAGGAGATGACGGAACTCAGACTCCTCTCCCCCCGCCGCAGCCAGCCTCTGGGATCTGCCAACACTCCTTGACCCAGGGACTCCCAAGCCACTAGCCCACTCCCCCGGTGGCCCTGCTGTCCTCACCACGCACTCCTCCTTCTCCACCTCTGGGGAAGACTGAGCAGTTTCGGGGGGAAGCTCCCAATCCCACCGCCACCACTCTTAACCCAAGAGTTAGGAGTGAGAGAGTTGGGAAGAAACTAAAGCTGTGGTTTTGGCCCCCTGAGGCTAACCCTGATCCATAGGGCTACCTGCACCTCTGGATTCTGGATTCACAGACCAAGTCCAAGCCCGTTCTTAGGTCGCCGTCAAGGCCCCCGAACGGCATTCTCGGTACTTCTGTTTGTTTTTGTACATTTTATTAGAATGGACTGTAAGATAGCCACTTAGACACTTTACCTCTTCAGTATGCAAATGTAAATAAGTTGTAATATAGGAAATCTTTTGTTTTAATATAAGAATGAGCCTGTCCAATTTCTGCTGTACATTATTAAAGTTTTATTCACAGAGCTTTTCTGGTGCCATCTGTTTTACATCTGTGGACTGGCTGCCCAGCCTTTTTCAGAGGAGCTGGGCAGGTGCTTCAGGTAGCGTCCCTCCCGCCACTGGCTGGGGTACGACGTTAACACCAGCTGCAGCAGGTCATGTCAGAAGAGGACCCTGTCGGAACATCCGGGGTCTTCCTGAGGCTGTTCCCCTGTGTTTCATAGAAGGAGGGCCTGGCGTGTGAGAGGGAGCAGAGGACGAACTCAGCACCTTTTCTTGGGCTTTGCCTGTATTTGTCTTCGTCTTTTAGCATTTTTCTCTTTATATAAAAGAGGGTCTTGATCCTGGTAAGTCACAAACCACCCAGTCTCGAAGGCAGCCTGGGCCCTCCTCAGTTTTAGCTTTCCCCCTCCTGACTTGGAGTATAAATGTGAATTTGGGGTTGGCTAAGCGACTTTGAGATGGGAGTCTTCAGTGGTGACTCCGGGGTTTTCAGTGTGTGGGTGGCTGTGAGGAACAGCCCTAACCCAACATCTCTAGGCTGAGGAACCAAGAGAGCAGGTCCTAGAATCATAGACTCTCAAGTTTAGATGGGACTCCAGAGGTCCAGCACCCATCAGGCATTTGACCTCCCCCACAGCATCCCTGCCGAGCGGCGTGGGCCTCGTGCTGTAACACTCAGGACCACAACCTCCACCTGCCGGCCATCTGCTCAGTGAACAGCCCTTCCTTACCTAGAACTGGGAAACCTCCCTACAACTTCTCTCCAGGATGGTTCAGAGCACTTATTCTGTCTTCCATATAAGGTCCCTTAACATATTTGAAGGCAGCTGTTACGTTACTATGAATCTGGCAAAGCTTAGGGTTTTTTCAGTTAATATTAGCAGATACTTATTAAAAAGTTACTGTGTGGGACTTCCCTGGCGGTCCGGTGGTTAAGACTCTGCGCTTCCACTGCAGGGGGCATGGGTTTGATCCCTGATTGGGGAACTAAGATTCCGCATGCTGTGTGGCGGCAAAAAAAAAGTTATTCTGTGCTACGCAGTGTGCCACACTTGGCTTTACGTACATGAACTGCTTTCATCCTCAAAACAATGTGTGAGGCTGGATTAGGAAACTGAGGGTTAGAGAAAACAGATAAACTGCCCACATAGCTCACAAGGGTGGAGAAGACCTTGGGTCCGGGGTGTCTGGCCAGAGACCGCAGCCCCTCAGCCTCTGCACATCCTGCCTCCATGGCGCCATGCCCTTGCCCCACGCCGGCTGCCCTCCGAGAACCTGGCTCAAGCCCGGGGCCACGGAGAGCACATGACGTTCCACCCAGGCATTCACTGGCAGCACAGACGAGAAGGAGAATCCCAGACTCTGCTTGACACCTTCAGGTCACATCCCAGGACTGCATCTTACGTTTGGGTTGAGTAAAATCCACCCCCCTTCCTCTTTCCTGTATATGAGAAGTTGGTATTTTGAACTCAAGTGCGGGACCTTATATGCCTTATAGGTTTACCCTGTTAAGTTTTACCACAGAACCTGTCCATTGCTGCAGCCTGGCAATATTTTAGAATTCTGCTTGTTGCCCAGAGTTGTCCATTTGTCCTCCCATCTGAGACTGTTGGGCCGGAGAAAAACAAGTAACTTACCTCTAGAAGTTGGCTCGAAGTTTGGCATATATCCTAGTAACCCAGAGTGGCTGCTAATTAAATTGTCCTTGCACCCTGGCCCTAATTCTCTTTGGACAAAGATAACAGCAGACTCCCAAGTACCTTGTTGAAGTGGCAAGGTATTCTTGTGGCTGCTGCATCTCTTTGATCTGTCTGTCGGAAGGAAAGGTGAAGTGGCTTGTAGTGGATCTCAACCTAGTTCAAAAGCCAGTCAATGATCAGTCGTCTTGCCAAGCATGGACCTAAAATTCACTGGGCTATGGATTGCAGGTTCAACCTTACCGTTTTGAGAATCAGAAAGGCAGCAATTCTGGGACCTCTTCATGTGCCCTTGAAGGTTACTAACGTTTCACCTTTGTAAGGCCCACGACCCAGGAGACCTGCGTTCATTTAATGGTGTATCACTAGGGGTTTTGTTTCACACGTTTTATTCTTTTTTGTTTGTTTGTTTGTTTTTTTGTTTTTTTTTTTTTGTTTCACACGTTTTAGATTTCTGTCCCCACCCCCTACCCCCGGCCATGTCTTCTGATCTGTAGTCTGGAGAACATGCTTGCTAAATACAACCAAAACAAAATGAGGGGTAGAGTAGTAAAGTTCAAGAGACATGCAGGAACATGTGAGGGATGCATAATGAAAGGGAGGGAAAGGGAGGGAAAGCTGTAGATCAAGACAGGAATGGTTTCTTAGGATTCACCAGAGAAATGAAAACTAATAGGGCTGGGTAGATTAGATAGATGATAGGTCGATCGATAGATAGATAGATATTTAAAGGAATTGACTCACACAATTGTGGGGCTGTTAAGCCTGAAAGCTACAGGGCAGGCTGACGGGCTAGAGACCCAGGGAAGAATTGATGTTGCAGTCTTGAGTCTGGAGGCAAACTTTCTTCTTCCTTAGGGGACCTCAGTCTTTTAAGCCCTTCAGCTGATTGGATGAGGCCCGTCCACACTGTGGAGGGTAACCTAACCTGCTTTACTCCAAGTCTACTGATTGAAATGTTGATCACATCTAAATCAGACCTTCACAGTAACATCCAGACTGGTCTGACCAAACCCCTGGCACCACACCCTGAAAAGTGTTAGGCGTCCCATGGCCAGACAGGGTGGGATTTAAGGAATATGGCAGATAGCTCTGGATCCACCTGGGAATGCTCCTTGGAGGCCAAGGATGGACGATAATGGGATAGGAAGGTTTAAGGAACAATAGGATGGACTGGGCTCTAAATGCATTCTTATTAAATAACAAGCATGTGTTCAGCAACCTTAGTGTGTAAAGCAGTAGGCAGAATACAAGGACGGACAGTCTGTGGCCACTGCCCTTCGAGACGGAGAGGATTTGTATAGAGAATAGAGAGTAGAGCAGGTTTTAGCAAGTCCCATCACAGAGCCGTATGTAATGCGTCGTGGAAGCTCAGGTGAGGTGCCTAGGGAAAGCCAGCCCTCCAGGGGCTCCCTACCTGGTGGAATGGACTAGTTAATAGGTAATTACAATGGAGTGAGGTATAGTGCTATGGTGGGGTAGACACACAATCCTCTGGAAACACAGAACAGACAGGAAGATGGGGTCAAGAGAGGTGACATCTATTTAGGGATAGGCACTGGCCTGCTGACTGGGGAGGAGGGAGGTTTGGTCAAAAAGAGTGTGTCGGGACTTCCCCGGTGGCACGGTGGTTAAGAATCCGCCTGCCAGTGCAGGGGACACAGGCTCAAGCCCTGCTCCTGGAAGATCCCACAGGCCGCGGGTCAAACAAGCCCGTGCGCCACAACTACTGAAGCCCGCATACCTAGAGGCCATGCTCCCCAATAAGAGAAGCCACTGCAATGAGAAGCCCATGCACCGCAATGAAGAGTAGCCCCCGCTCGCTGCAACTAGAGAGAAGCCCGCGCACAGCAACGAAGACCCAACGCAGCCAGAAATTAATTAATTATTTTTTTAAAGTGCGTTGCTCGAGAACCACAGGTTCAGTATGGCTAGAGCAAGAGAGCCAGGGGTGCACACAGGAAATCTCTTAGAGCCATCCTGTGCTAAGCCGTCAAGACTGTATCCCGAGAGCCACCAGTGCCATCACTTCCCCTGTGACAAGTGCCTCAGACTGCTAATCTCAGTAGTTTTTCCTCCTGGGTCTCGACCTGGTCTCCAAATTCTTCTCAACAGCATGCTTATGTGGAGTTGTCCCATGAATGAACACCTCTTCTTTCATTCCTGCTGTAGGAATGACAGGCCACTGATGGGTTTTGAGCAGGGGAGTGATGTGATCTTACTTGTACTGGGGGGGAGAACACAGTGCTGACTTGAGAAGGTAATTGCCGAGGTGGTAGAGCAGGAAAAGCTGGAGGACGGGGAGAGACAGTGGAAAGGATGCAGAGGTTGGGGGCGCGATCAGATGTGGACAGTGAGGAGAAGCCGACTTCAGTGTGGAGTCCACGGGAGGATCTTAGCCTTGTGTACAACGCTGTCCCTGGGGAGAAGGAACCAGGGCTGGACCACCAGAGCAGCTGTGTTTGCCAAGAGAGACGAGATCTGGGGAGTCTGGGGCCCTAAAAGCTGTCATTTTCTGTCCTAGCTATCTGTACCTGTCTGAAATGAGGCGGGGTACGATAATACATGCCCTCTGTCCTAGAAGTGGTTTGTGGATACTGTAAGGAAAACTAGAGAGATGACCCTTTCTCCCTCCTACCAGTCTAACCTGTTCAAGCCCGAGATACCTTGCCATCCCACCTAGGAGGCAAGATGGTCCCTGGCCTCTGGCTGGGACTAGACTCTGAAGCTACAGTATCCAAAACAAATAAACGGCCATATCCGCCCGGCTCCTGCTCTCAGACCCCCTAGAATTAGCTCTTTGGGCTGTGATGGATCCACCTCCCCCCTCGCCCCTGCTGCTGAGCTCCCCTGGACCCCAGTGCCACACACAGACGCTAGCCCGTGGAAACAGTTGGGCAGTAGGAGCCATTAAGGAAAACAACCGCTCCCTGCCCAGTCAGCTGCCTACCAGCTGCCCAGGCCTCCCTCAGCATCCTAGAGCCAGGGCCCAGCCCCTCATTCCTGCCCACACAGCCGGCTCCGTCCCAGGCCCTCACCCTCCCACCTTCCACTCAGAAGCAGTGGCAGTACCCAGAGAGGAGCCCCAGCGGACCGGTCAGCCCCCCAGTCCTGGGATGAAATGACTGTGCGAGAGCCCTGACGTTAACTCAGATGCCAGAGGAGCCTGGGCTTCTGGAGCTCTTGCCTTGAGTGCCCCGACCTCCTGATGGGAGCCTAGAGCTGGAGCAGGTGGGCGAGGACGGGACTCAGGGGACCGTTGACTGTTAGGTACCTGGGCAAGGGCTTGTCCCAAAGAGAAGGGATCTCACCTAGGCCTTGTCCATTAGCCAAGCCCCCGCTCTCTGTGCCCCTACCACAGGCCAAGCCCTGCCTACCCTGAGAGCCAGGGGCCAGGACATCTGGATCCAAAGGAAGCAAAGCCTGGAGAGTTCACTCTGAAAGCCTGGGACATGCTCAGGAATAAGGTACAGATTGAGTGCAGATGTCTGCGGGAGCCAGAGCAATGGGGCTTTTGCAAAGAGGCTTCCGGGGGGGAGGAGAACAGAGGGGGAGGTGTCCTAATATGAGGCTCCAGGTGGCGTGCAGCATGCTTCCCTCCCCC